GATGCCTAATTAAGTGAACCAAATTGGACTATAAGAAATAGGCAGGTTTGAAGCTAGTCAACTTTCTTGCCCACGTGACATGGTGTCCTGTTCTAACGATGTCCGTCACATTACGGAGGAAAGCTCATCAGATTCATTTGGGCCAAAGTGCGGTGGGCCGAGGATCTACTGGCATAAATCTGTAATCACAGATCAAAGGCAATCTCCCTACCGCTTCCAGCGAGTCCTTTCAAATCACCTCTTCAAACAAATTCAAAGGTGCTCCAACACGAATTTACTAAGGGAGCACACAGGCACACACGTGATAACTACATACCGAATAAGTGGACTTCGGTAGATACCGTTCATAAGAACTCAAGTCACCTTGGGTTGATAAAGGTGATGGAAAGCCTGACAGATGAAGCCTTCTATTCTCTTCATTGAGAAAAATTCAATTAGACTTCTTCTTTACCTAAGAGAATTTCAACTTATGATGTATTATTTGTAGAGATTTTTTGTCGATTCACTCCGACGAAGAATCTACAATCAAAAGTAGCATGAAAAATAAATAGAAAGAAGACAAATCAGAATTAATTTGTCAAACCTTGATCTTCTCTCTCAGCTCCGCCATGGCGGCTGATGCCTCATCCACGCAGGGGATGGCGTAGAATTCGCCCTCTTCTTGAGTGAGCAATTTATACCAGGCATAAGTGATTGGGGTCTTCATCAATTCGGTGACGCCGAAGGAGAGACTGCCCATGAAGTCGTTTCGAGAGGTTCTGTCCCAGTCCCACAATTCGATTGCGACCCGTTTCGACATATCTGATTTGGTGAATTCTCTGAAAAAGAGAACAGCAAATGAAACATTTAAGACATTGTTGTCTATCAATTCCATGCAGTAACTCGGCAGAGTCTTCCTCCTTGGCACTCTCCTGCCAGCATCGCCTATGCTTCACTGCGTCGTCTCAGAAGGCGTTCTACTAGAATGAACACACCTGGCGAGACTTCGAGCGGCGATTTTCAATTATGGATACTACTGATGCCGGCCAAAACAAGCTACAGCGATTCAGTTTAACCTCGGCGCTGAAAATTGGTTATTCTTGCAGTTCTTGGAAGAAGGTACATCTTTAAAACCCAGCTCATTTTCATACCATGCGTCCTCCAACAATGCAGTCGTGTTTTGTTCCCGTCTCAGGTGATTGAGCAAATAATTGCCGGTTAGGATTGAAAGAATCTCTTGGTTTATAAGTGTTGATACCCCTTCGAGTGCGTGATGAAGAGGTTCGACGGCCGCTTCCACCATAGGAGGACCCCGGATATCTCCTGAGAAAAGTTTTCTTTTGGCTTTGCTGTAGCATATATGAAGAAAAGCTGAGTTTCTAAGAATGCCTTAGTGATCTATGGTGACATGACTTTTCATTTTGAAGAGA